ATTGGAAGTTAGATTTTATGAATTACGTTCTTTGTATTTTTACCTTTAAACTATAATTTTAATCGTAGACACTCATATCTTGTTTGGAAGTTAATGTACGCAGACTTCCCATTGCGTGGTTCCTTTTGCTCGTGAAATTTTGAAAATAAAGCATGTTTTGGAGTGCTTTAATCCTTACTTTGATAAGAGACCAGTAGACACCATGTTTAAGTATATTCAATATCGGTGCAACATAACACTTTCATCAGGGGATGGATCCCCTTCTGTTGATTGCAGAATCTTCTTATTTCCGTTATTTTGATCGTAAATTTATTGCATTACCCCTTCATTAGTTAGATTATGGCTTATGCATGCAAATTATAAAACTGGCAAAGGTAGATGACTAGGTAACTGTAACCTCTGCAATTATAACACGTAGAACATAGGTACCTATACATAAATCTGAAACGGTCTTGGAACATATAGAATGATCAAATCTTGAGGTGACTATGATTTGGCATAGAGAAAAGAAAGGAGATGTTTGTATATTGAGGATCGTTTAGCCCTTGACGTAGGTCGGTATAGCGTCAATATTCCAGTAAAATCCGAAATTTGAAGTATGAGAAACGGACCATGAAGTCCTTTTTTTTTTTTTTTTTTTTTTTTTTTTTTTTTTTTTTTTTGGGCTTAAATCAACTCAAAGTATAATTTAAAACAATTTGTATAGAATGATTTCTTTTCCTGAAATGATACCATTTCCAAGAAAATCGATGATAAAAACAGGCGGTACCGACCTACATCATCGAAAAAATCCAGGATGCCCGAAATGCTATCACCTCCTTTTTTTCCTCTATGATGATTTGGAGTCCCGTGGCTTCGGGTTATCAAAAGTGCAGCTACGTACAATATAAAACAGCGATAAATGTCGGTATTTTCAGGAAATTTTAATAATTGACTAGAAAAGGGACCGCCGCAACCGCCTGCCCAAGTCTCGGGTTGGTTTTCAGGACCTATCCGAGCTTGGTAGCAGAAAATTCAGGAGGCTGTGCTGCACTGATGATGGGTCCAATTAGACCCGAAACGTGGCCGTTGCCTTCCTGAATGATCGTAACTATAGTGTTGCACCATCTCTACATCACATCTCTATGAGGAAAAACTGTGCTTATGTCAGCTTTTCCCTCTAAATTGAGATTATTAGCGTTATGCTGATCTGTAACGCACGTTGGCTACACTATACCAAATGTCTGTCTAAAATTTTTCCCAGAAATGTTAGGGAATTTCACTTTGAAAATTTTGTAGGAGCCCCGTATGAAGTCAAGACGGGCCTAAGAGGTCCCTCACTTTAGCTACAAACCAGTCTGACAGAATACAAATTCGAGAATTTTCGG